AAAAAAAAAAATATGTTGTGCACCTGCAATCTAATATGCACGATGCTGAATGAAATTTCTGAGAAATTGTTTCGGACATAATTATACACTGCAATGTAAGGATTTTAGACAAAATGGCTGCCAATTTGACGCAGTCCTAGTTAGTTATCGAATTTAAGATATATAGTTTTGTTTATAGTAATATAGCTGGAATATAACCATGTCAAGAATATGATTATGATGATTGTTCAACATTAAAATGATTGACATTTGTATCGTCAAACAAGTACTTGTCCATATTGAGAGATATTGCTCTGGAACAGCATTAATTAAAACAAAATCAGCCATTTTGAATACATGTATATATCTATGACATGATGTATAATGAATATTTAAAATTTGAACATAATCAGTCAAAGCAAGTCAGATATGGCAAGAGAACCCCATTCATTAAAACAAAATGAGTATTGATATAGTACTTGTGTACAAACTTTCAACTGAAGTTTGTATAAAAACCGATCGAAAAACATTCTAACATGCCTTTTAGGCTGATATTCCATGATTAGATTAGTACACAGTCATTGATTGGTTGACCACCGTCAGCGAAAAAACGCCTCAATATTTCATTTCCCCCTTTTTTTTCTAATGTAGTCCTATCTGAGTTGGAATGTGGCCGACCGAAACCAAACCACAACATGCATACAAAGTCTTGTGTTAGTTTGAAAGTGATTGATTATAAAGTATGCCCATGAAATGACTCTGGATGCAAGTATGCACAGAAAAATGAACGGATCAATGAAATAATCCTTGATTTCAGACTTTGTTCAGACCGAGGACTAAAAGCAGTCAAGTTTTTGTCTACATGAGATTTTGATCACGTTCGGATAGCCATATTTTCTATCGCACTGGTACATCGCTGCAAAAGAACCGAAACAATGAGAGACTAAACACTATCCAGCTATCTTATTTGCATTAGCGTACGCCTTAAAAATGTACATTTATATTGCAATATTATAATTATCGACTTCTTAAATTCCATACCACTTGCATATCCTCATCTTACAAGTCTTTTGTAAAACCCAATATCGTTAAAGCGGGAGGGTCGTCACCTGCGCACGCGTGGGAATTGAGTCCCAAGCGTCGTCGATAAAATACTAAAAACGCAAAGGTTCATGGGTAGACGCTTGTTTGTAGACGCATGCGCAGGTGATGACTCCCCCACTTTAAGTTCTATGTTGAAATGTCTTACAAAATCTTTGTCTATTTTTCAAGAAATCTATCACTTTTCTCTAAGTCTCTGTATCTTCTCCATAAAAGCTTTCACTCTCGGCAATTCAACATCATTCTCCCATGATCCTCCATGTTTGAAGTATGAGCCGATAATCAGAGCATTGGCTGACATATAGTGTTCCATGTTGTCAATGGTTACTCCTGATCCAATCAAAACTGGTATATTCACAGCTTTCAGCACATCTACAGATGAACAGATGCACCAATGTGAGTGGAATTCTCGGGAGCGGGGCTACATCACAGAACGTTCTACGTTGCGAAGGCGAGCACCACCGTACTATGTATTTCTATTAGCTCTGCACAAGCTGTCGACTTGCATACAGTCTCTTGTTTATTTTTTAGTGTTATTTTTAATAAATTAAAACATAGGAGTACACAAATGGCAAAAGCTGGATTACCACGAAAATAAACAAGAGACTTGTGACCCTTGCTACTAATATAAATGAACATTTCAATGACGTCACAGAATTTGATAGGCAGAGTGTGAATACGTATAAGTTTTCAAGATGGACATGAAAAGCAGGCAAGCAATTGCGAGCACACAGACAAATTGTCTATATAGATCATGCATATCGTCCTCAATACCACAGATCTATTTTTAGAATGACACGTTGATAACTAGTTAAAATGCAAAAAAAATATAAAAAGACAGCCATTTTTGAGGTATGAACACACAAACAAACAAACATTAGATTATAATATTACGTACAACTATGGAATAGATCCACTGTAACATGAAACAGCGTTCGTTTGTGTAATATATGACTGTATCTTGAGAAAATTAAAAATTAACATTCCCATTTTTAGAACACTCGATAACTGTACATCAGTGGGGAATTTATTTTCACTGCTTACTTTCTTTGCTCATTTACAATTATGTATGATTGTGAATATAATTTTCTCAGTCAAAATATATTTACTGTAATTAGCTCATTAGCATATCATGTACTTGGTGGCATAAGTTGCAAAATTTGTCATCTGCAAACCTAACACTTCTCTGAAATTTGAAACCACACAGTAGTGAGTGATTTTTTGAAAATTGAAAAAAACTTGCTATATTATTGGTTTAGATGTTGGCTGAATGTTGACAGTTATCATCAAACAGGCAGAATTCACAACATCACACATAATTCAGTTGAAGGCATATACATGTTACATGTATAAATAAAAACCAACATTCTCATTATGGCTACGCTGGTGTTTATTATATATTATCAAATAACTCAGAAATAAAACAATAAATTAAAAGCTTTTTACAATACCCTGTAATTCTTTGGTGTCAGTAGCCATACCAGTAGAACCACCAGTGACGACAACTCCATCGCTGAGAAAGAATTCTGCAGCCTTAGCAGTGTCGGCAATATTAATATCAGCAGTTATTGCATGTGAACTGAAATAAAAATAACACATGAAGGAGCAAGGAAAACCAACCTGCTAGAAAAGGCGGTTGTTTTTATTTCATTTGATATCATATTAATTTGTTTCTACCTTGATTCAAAGTAATCAGTTACATGATTCATTTTGTGTTTACTAAAAACATTATTTGTGATTTTGATTTGTGAGAGATAAGTATTTGTTAATTTTATGAATCAAGAAACGCAGAATTTTCAGGCAGTTAATATTTCATGATGTCTTTAAAACAGTGTATCAAAGCAACTTTCAAATTGAATCAAAGCAACTTTCAGATTGAATCAAAGCAACTTTCAAATTGAATCAGAGCAACTTTCAAATGGAATCAAAGCAACTTTCAGATTGAATTAAAGCAACTTTCAAATTGAATCAAAGCAACTTTCATATTGGATCAAATCAACTTTAAGATTGAATCAAAGCAACTTTCAAATTGAATCAAAGCAACTTTCAAATTGAATCAAGGCACTTTCAGATTGAATCAAAGCAACTTTCAGATTGAATCAGAACAACTTTCAGATTGAATTAAAGCAACTTTCAAATTGAATCAGAGCAACTTTCAGATTGAATTAAGCAACTTTCAGATTGAATTAAAGCAACTTTCAAATTGAATCAAAGCAACTTTCAGATTGAATCAAAGCAACTTTCAGATTGAATCAAAGCAACTTTCAGATTGAATCAAATCAACTTTAAGATTGAATCAAAGCAACTTTCAAATTGAATCAAAGCAACTTTCAAATTGAATCAAGGC